AGATCAGAATTGGCCAGTCTGTTCTTGATCAGCTCTGATTGCGAATTAGCAGGTCAAATCTTTAAAAAAAAAAATCCTAACCCTAAGAATTCCCACTATTTTGGCCTAGAAACTCATCAAACAGCTTGTACTTTAAGGAACTTTGTTTACTACAAATATCATAAAAGCTAGGCTAGCTATGATAAAAGCTAGCCACAAAAAAATAAGGTTTTTGTGGCATTAGTCACAAAAACCTTTTTTAAAATACTCTACTAACTAGCATCCATCTTCTCTGTCTCTTCTTGTTTGTAACTTTGTCTGGAAATCCCAAACAGGACACGTTCAAGAGGCAACATTACCAGTTCAACTGCAAAGTTCATTACCGAGCCATATGTCTCCCACGATGCCCCGTGTTTTACGCTCGAGTGCCTGTGTAACAGCAGGCCCACATAAGATAGTCTGGGCCGCTCCAGTATAGTAACAGTATAGTGAAAGCGTTAAGCGTAGTAACAGCTTGCAGCCTTGGAGCCAGGAAGTGGTCCAATAATGCTGCTGTGCAATGTATGCAGGATTCGTTGAAGTGAAGTCGTGCTGAAACGATGTCATAGATTAGTTGGAAGGGAGCAAAGGTTGGCATGTCAAAGTTCACGGCCGCTTTAGCCGGTCAGCCGAATTCCCCCTACCCCCCGCCACCTCCTATAATCTCCTTACTTAGGGCGTTTTGCAATGGATCCTAATCTGCACTCGCCAGCTCAGTTCTAAGATGCGTGGAGAGACACACACTCGCGCTCCAATATACACACACCGCACAATTTTCAGTTGTCACCCCAAGACAGTTCTTCACAGGCCAGTGTGAGAGGCAGGGCTTAAGACGGAGCTCAGCAAAACACTAGAGAGCATTAACTTCTCCAGTAAGAGCTTTTTTGTTGGGCTTCCCTCTGGAATCAAGACACTTAATTTAGCTCATGGCAGCAAATGCAACTCAGGGGAAATATATCTTATCCAATTAGGATTGTCTTTTTTTCTTTTTTCCTCCCCGTTTTGCGATCGCTGTAAAAATGGTTTTTTCCTTTTTTTTTGTATCCGAGCATATTCTGGAACGATATTTTCAATTCAACATGACATTGTCTCTTGACTTTGAAATAGCTGGAGGCCTGGTCTTCTATCACTGTATACTCTTTTCTTTCTCTTTCTCACATCAGACAAGTTTATATCTGCACGAACTCCCTCAAGTTTACTCAATACTTAGCCTACTGAATGGATTTTCTTTTCTGTCCTGGGACGACATAGAATGAATTAAACTCAGGAAAAGTAGCAGGGAGTTCCTGGTGATGGAAAACTAAAAGAAAAGTAAAGGTAGTTTTGGTAAATAGCTGCGCGTCCATTACAAATGTGCGGAAAATTTGTTGATTTTCCAGTAATGTTGAAAAAATATATAAAATTTTTGTGGTCGTTTTGTTTCCATTAAATAAGAAGTGTGATTGAAATGACAAGTGAATACATTCCTTCAAGTGATAAGTCATTAAAAAGACTTGCCGCATCATCATCTTCCTACCACTTCCTGTCATCTTCTTTGTCTTTTCTGGCAGTAGTAACATCCGGTTGTTGATCATGTGACTCGTGTGACGTGGAAAAAGTGTTTCGATTGCAGTTTTGTGAAATACACAAATTTTAATACTGCTTTATAATCACCTCATCCTTACACCTGAAAACGTTCATCAAAATTTTATTTAATTTTTTCCATTAAGCAAATATTTGTATTTGGATACAAATGTATACTTTATTGTATTTCCACCTTGCAGGCCAGTGGAAATTTGCTTACATGTTGTTTAAAGTTAGGAGGCGTTTTTACAGCATCTGAAAGAACAGCATAATCTGAAGTCATATCCTGACAGCTGACTTAAATGTTCCCACAGGTGAATAATCTTTGTCACAGCTGAATGATTGGCTGTTGATTGTTTGGAAGGGACCTTATGACCTTTCGCCAATTTATTTTCTGCAGAAAACCTTCCTGCTCTTAGGTCATCGGTGTTTTCTCCACCTTGTTATAGTGTTTAACAGGCACTTGTACTCTGGAGCCACACACTATCTCAACAGCTGGTTGTGATGGAGGTTGTCACACCTACTGATGATCACATTATTGTGAGCTTTGGTAATCACCACCTGGCTCCCACAGCGGGAAAGTTGTACTCTGTTTACAATTTTTTGGCATGTGTCACTTGAGATTAGATTCAATTTTGAAAATGTGCTTTTTGCTTTGGAGGAGACTAGAAAATATTCGGCAGACTCTCACATATTTATGCTTAGATTCTAATAGCTAGCTTTTTTTTTTTTTTTTTTTTTTGCCAGGACTGTACAAGCAATTTTAATGGATGGGCAAGTTGACATCATTTGTCATCCATTGTCGGAAGGGTCATGGTGGGGCTCCGGCGGTCACTGGGCAAGAGGCGGGGTACAGCCTGGACAGGTCATCAGTACATAGATAATGAGTTCTTGGTTATAATTTGATAGTAGTAAAGTAATATGTGGCCCCTGGTGGATGAAGGTCAGAGGCTATGATGGGGAATTGCTCAGGTAGAGGTGCATAAAGGGGGTGAATTACCTTTATGGGATCATGACGACTAAAAGACATGGGCACCACAAGATGCAAGATTGGAATTATATAAGGAACATTCAATTCTCACTTTGTTAAATAAATAACATCATAAAGTAACGTCTAAAGGAACAAGTTGAACCTCTAATTGGATAAATATGCCTACTGAAAGTAGGGGACTTTTAATTTGAAGTCTGTTAAAGGTACACCTAACGAACTGAATATCGTCTTTGCCTATTCTCATCGTGTTGCATTTAAGACCAGAACAACAGGTACAACATGTCTACAGAAGTCTAGATTGAGGTGTGTGTTGGATTAGTTTGTCACAAACAAGTTTGTCACAAACAAGCTTTCTGAAAACTTAGACTCAGGGTTGAATCGGCAGCTGTTTGCAGGGAGCTCATCGATATGGTCGTCTTTTTTCCCCACAATGCTTCTGTTTTAGTCCCTGTTCATGTTTGAAAGTAACCTGTGATCAGACTTGCACTGATTCAAGCAGGAACCTGATTGAAAACGAACTTTTCCCACTGAAGATGTTGTGTTCAGTGCTGATTGGAGTCAGAGTTATAAATACCTGCAGCCACTTACTAAACACCAGAAGTTAGCAGAAGTTGATGTTTTCTTACCTTAGTGAAAGCTATTATAGCTTGAAATTTATACCTAATTTTATGCCTAAATAAAAAGATCGTCTGGATTTTCTGAAGATTCTTATATGTTTTAATGAGTAGACAATAAATCCCTGACTTAAATGTCAAACTTAATATTGGACTTCCTAATTTTAGCTTATTCAAACAACAAAAACTTAAATGCTCATATCTATTGGATGCAGCACTATGTAGGGGATATTAGCCCAATGGTGTCTGCTAAAAGTAAAAAATTACTATTATTAAGGCTGCCTAAATATAAATGTTTAATAAATCCATAATCCAAGACCTAAAGACAATCACTAAAATAGCCTTTAAGTTTTAGTGCTGTGACAAATTTTTTGTAATGTTAGTGGCTATCAAATTTACCAGTGCTGGTGTATCATTCACATCTTGTCATTTTTACCATTTATCTGACATAGAACAGATAAATGATTTCATAAACTAGCTTTGCCAACTATTACATTTCAAAATAAGAGTCTCAAACATACATACAGCATGTCCATCTTAAAACACTCATCTTCGTATTCATAGAGTTATAGCTTGACTAACACAGGTAACCTCATGACTTTTTCCATGTTGCCTTTTTTAAACTGCATGCGATTTAAACTAACAAGCAGGGAATGCATGTTAATATTGGAACATGGTTAAATATTTTTTTTTTTCCCAAAACAAAAACATCTCATTAGAAACATAATTTCAGAATAAAATTGGAGAAAGGTTGGCTGTATACTTCCCCCACAGAATACAGGATATTACCCTGTCTATCTTCACTCTGTTCATAATGAGGCTGTAAATTGCAACTCCATTTGTGTTTTGTGTCGTACTAAATACAAATTTAGACAATGCCTCTCCGGTATCCAATCACACAAGTAATACAAGGTTTGCAGTCCTTCACCTTTATCGCAGTTATTCTGCACTACCCACTGAAATAACAATAACGGAGTTGATATCGCCTGAATGATCAAAGAAATTTGCCAGTAATTGCTTATAATCAGAGCCTTTGTTTCCCCTTTTGTCACATTTTAGTTGGATGTAATCAGGTCAACATAGAAATATCTTTAAAATATGCAAAAGGCTGGGTGAGCTCGGCTGTTTTTGCACCTCTGCGTTACACGTTTCAGTGACCCTGTTGACTCGATGTATGCGCCTCGACCCCGACACCATACGTTGTGTTATTGGAGTCAAATGGGGCAGCGAATTGCCAGCCCATTGCACAATTGCCTCCACTGTGTAGTGAGCCCTGTGCGGTGGTGTGTAACATCTGGAGAGGGAGCGAAGCGTTCGGCCTGAAGCCGGGGGTGTCCACCCCGTCCTCGTCCTAGTCAACCATTGCCCCTCGCCCCCATCCCCTATCGCCTCACTTCCAGCAAAGCGGGCATCTTCAATGCATCAATGACACCAGCCATCACAAGGGGCATGTAGCATGCCAAACCAATGATTCATTAGGACTCAATTAGCTGGCAGGCATGGGGCGACCCGCCATATGCCTGAAGGTTCGACAACAGTCTGCACTCCCCTTCACCTCCCCTCCACGTTCAGCTGCGCCCTCAACCGTCTTTGGCGCCACCGTCGACGCAAGACGGTCGGAGTCGTCTACGCGAATGTTTCTTGAAACAGTTCGGCGGTTGAGATTTTAGCGCCTTCCCGTCCCCGGCCATGCGGTTTCTGAGCTGGAAATGAGTCACAATGACCTTCAGCTCAACTCGTGGTGCGCCAGTTGGCAGCGAATGAAATACTCATTCATCTAGTGAAGTAAGAGACTGTGGAGCTGCAGATACTGTAAATCTTAAGAAGTAAAGAAAGGCTCCGCTCTGTATTGACTTTGCTTCCTTTGCCAAGAGGCGCCTTGGGCTGCCGACAAGATCTATCCGCCCTCAAATCTAATTTTTCTTCTTATCTGTGCCAAGGTAAAGGACCCCTAGCCCTTAGTCCCCAAACACACATAGACACATCCTGATGCGAGCGCCTACCACCCAAAAAAAAGGCACAGACGTGCCTATATTAATGAAATTAGACCAGAGTGGAAAGCTGCCCTTAGGCTGACTGACACAATGAGCTCCAGCCCAGATATGTGATAGAATATGAGATGATGTGGCATGTGCACACACGCAGTCCTATCATTTCTGTCGACGGGTTTGAGCTCTCATGTCACAGGGTTACGTTAATGAGTGATGCTTTCAAGGAAATGTCGCATGTATTTACGGACAGCGTTTTACATTACCTGTATTGAAAGGTAAAAGTGGTGGGGTGTCCACCTCACCTCACCCACCCAGTCTGAAGAGTTTAACCCCGGAGCTCATTACGAAATGAAATCACAGCCATAAATATCACACAATACATAGGCAGTGAGGTTTTATGAATTTAAAAATGTGTGATTAATTAAACTAAACAATTAGAATGTAATATGAAAATCTTTTATGCAGTATTTCCAGGTAATGGGCAGTGAAAAGAGCATGTCTTGTATTTTTTGGGGGGGCTTTATTAAGGGATAAAACACATCACTCCTTGTAGATTTACAGATATACTTAAACTGGATCTTGATCATGGATAATTCAAGCTGCTGGAATCAAAGTCCTTGACTGAACTCAACTTGTGATACTTGTTTCTTCAACTGTATGTGATTTTACATCTCATGCGTTCCCAGCGAGTTGTAGCGCTGCAAGATAGTTGGACAGTTTCCCTTATCAATCTGAACATTTTCACCTTTTATAGTGATTAGCACAGTGAAAAGAGACTGTATTGGCTGCTGGAGCTTCCTAGGTTTTCCATTCTTACACGTCCCGGCACGGCTTTGGTTTTACTAGAGAGCTGCTCAAACACTCGTTCTTTAAAGGGGGTTAATTGTAACATGATGTAACAATGTAAAGCTACATTTGTTAGCTTTACATCATGTTACAATTTTCTTCCCTCAACAGAAACATGCGTTCTCTTTGCTTTGACTCTTGTATGTTTGAGGAATCTTTGAATCTCCCTTGGCAATCATTCAGGACTGCCTAAACCCTTAGTCTTGCAATGTGCTGCTTATTCCCTCATATTCCCATACCTGAAAATCCTCCCACAGAGAAACCCACACAGGTCCTCTAGACTAGCAGCAGCAACAATTAGCAAACACCTGGTGAACTTGTGCCTCTGCTGAACTTGTCTTACTTTTTACTCCAATCATCCTAGAACGGAAGTAAGTGGCATCACGGAGGGGCATCATAATGACGACGTGTTGGGGGACGACTCAGAAAGAGTAGGAGCTTCTTAAAGAGACAAAGGCCAATTTCAAGACATCAAATTCCAAAATCAGAATTGCTTTAATGCTGGTCAGCATGTTGAATCGTAAAAGTCTCACAAAATTCTTTGTCCGCAAATATAAATCATTCTCACCACTTGCACCTCTGAAAGCCACTACAAGTTATTCCTGAGGTTCACGTAAAGTTGCACAGCCAGAGCTAACATGGTGGGGTGGAGTAAAGTGTTATTTGTTTGAGGCCGAGGCTTTCGAAGCGACGACTTCTGCGTGCTGCGAAGCATCTTTTCCCGTCCTCTCAAATTAAAGCAGAATCTCTCCGAGCGCCAGCAGCCGGCGAGCCCCGTCACGAGGAAAGAAAATCAACTTAAGCTGAGAGTCGCTCTGCCCCAGTTGTAGACATGTGCGCCGACCCGACTGCGCTCCTCCAGCGTTTCCACCGCGTTACCCAGAAACGCTCCGTTCGCGTGACCCAATTTGCAGCCTCTCCTCCTCATTCATCTGCTACCACAGACTCGCGGCAGGAGACTCTGCGAGCGACGGAGCATTCATCACCTCTGAGCGGTGAGGACCTTCGCTTACATCCTGTCGGCCTGCGCCGCGAGCCGAACCTGCGCGGACGGGAAGGGCGGGAGCTCCATCAGTGGCTCGGGGTGAGAGAGGACCCATTTGTGGTTATGTTTTATGAAATATGTAATCAAATATGAGCTTGGCAGCATTTTTCTTCCGCTGACAGTCAATTTAAATATTGTATCTGCCACATCTGCCTGCTGCGGTGCTTCTTCAGTACCCTGGAGGTAATTGAAGCGTTCAGTTTGGCTTGTGGAGCTGTTGCCATCCTTATGGGGTTTGAATCTCACCAAAACTAGTGTTTCTTTTTTCCTTCCCCTTTTTTTAAAAGAAGCAATATGTTTCCATTCACTTTTATGCATTTTTGTAATCAGGATACTGAAATTATAGCAAATATTCTTTGGTAAAAGGATTACTCATAACAAAAGTAATAATAACTTTATTTATAAAGCGCTTTCAAAGACATAAAAGACAAAATAAGATGGTTGCAGGTCAGTAACATATAAAACACCAAGAAGGCAATAAAACAGAAAGTGGAGTTTAAAAGGAATGAACTTTAGCTTGGCTTTAAAAACATCCTCAGAACCTCTCTTCCTGGTGTCCTGCTACATTTATTTACTGATCCGTTTGCAGAAATAGCACCAGAATGTTTGCTTTGAAGCAGCGCATCAAGTTGAGACACGTCATACGCGCAGGTTATAAATCGAATGAAAGGAAAAGTAATCCCTGGGCAAAGGGTGAATTATCTTGCTCCGATACCCCGGGGCAAAGATTTCTCCCTCTCGCTCTGCCAAAGGATGGGGCCCCGGGGCCTTCTTTCACAAGCCAGCTTTGCTCATCGTTAACATGCAGTTCCAAAGGGAGACCATCTTAAGATTTAATCAAGAAGGAAATGATCTGGTTTGGATTTATGTTTTGAATTTGCCTCATTTAAAAAGAAAGAAAAAACCTAGCTAAACTAGTTTTGATTATTATAATTTTTTTAAATTAAGATGTGATGCTTTCTATCGGGATTGCATGTGATTGTAAACACAAAAAAGTGTATTCTCCAAAAAAACAAAACAGCTTCACGTTGACCCAGGGCTCACCGGGGTCCGGTATGAAGTAGTTCAAAAATGGCAAAACCCGGAGACCACAGGTCATAGGTCAGGCAAAGCAGGTGAAGTGTCTTGACCAAGGACACAACAATGGAGACAGACAGAGCGGGATTCAAACCAGCAACCTACCGACTAGGGGATGAATTCCCATCACCATCGCCCCAGTTCAGTTCATCTAGTCGAGCCAGGAGACGATAAACCAAAGCACCAGCCAACATGGTAACTTTGAAGGAACTGCAGAGATCCTACTTTTGTGTTGTAACTGGTGGGTTGCTGGTTCGAAACCCACTCTGTCCATCTGTCGTTTTCTCTTTGGACAAGACAATTCGCTGCTTTGACTAGTAGTGGTGCATGGCAGACTCACTTTTGTCAGATTGCCCCAGGGCAGCTGTGGCTGCAGTCCAGTAGCTTGGACTGGAGCCACAAACGCATTCACACACTCCTGTGTGTGAATGCGTGTGTGTGAATGGGTGAATGGCTGACTGCAGTGTGAAGTGCCTTGGGGTCTTCTAAACCAGATAAAAGGCTGGACAAGTACAAGAGATTTACCATTTATGTAGACGAATCAATCAGCAGGACAACTGTTAGTCATACATGTCATCGTCACGTAAGACTAAGAAGAGTTAAATCTATTGCTGAAACAAAGCCATTAAAACTTCTATACGCAGTTTGCGACACAGCAAACATGTGAAACAAAGAGCTCTGCAGTCTAAATTGTAACTTTTTGTATCTTTTTGTGGGGGTTTACTTAAAGTCTCAAAAACATACCCTGGAGTTTGCGGTTGCTCCCAATGCCGCCTAGCAGGCCTAAAGCTCTTGTATCTGCTCCGGTTCGGGCCTTTGCTCTCTTTCTAATTACTCCGGTTCGTGTCTTCGCCGCGCGGCACCAGCAGGGAAGAGCGCCGCTGTATTTTTGATGCGGAGCTGCGTCGAACAACAAGCATCTGGCACAGCGGCGGCAAGCGGTCAGCATGACGTCTTCTGACGAGACCCTTCAGATCACTTTTCATCAGAGCGTCGCAGTCGGAGGCCACCCCCGACGCTTTGCTTTAATCAGCCGTCAAGTGTCATATTCAGAGGGCCTCACTCCGGGGGGAGGGGAACTTTCATCCAGCCTCCACTCTGGGTTTATACAAAAACAAGTGAAAACAGAGGGAGCGGCGTCACGGCGAGGCGCCAGACCCTGACCTTGCGACGCCATTGTAATGAGAAGGAGGCGAGTGTATCACTTATCATTAGCGGCATGATTAGGTGCCAATGGGCTGTGCCTGCCGCGGTTTGAACCCTCCGCTCCGCGACAATCCCAAGAGTGCGATAACATATGAGATGGCAAGAGTTTCACACCCAGATTCACACCTCCCGCGGTTCCATACGTCGCGGCAGCCTAATCACTCATGTGAGATTAATGAGAGAAGTTGAGGTGTGGTGAGACGCTCACTAATTACAAGCTCACACACTGGATTGTCACCAGGGGAGCAGACAGTTAAGCGTGTGCTTTGTGTGTGTTCCTCTTAGCGTGTTTTAAAGTCAGTTTTTGTTTTCAGAAAACAAAAACAAAACAAAAAAAAAAACCCAGATGGTTTCCAGCAGAAGAAAATGAGCAACATCAAAGCTTCTCTCAGGAGAAAATATTCGGAGAAGAAAAAAAAAGCCACTCCGTGGGAATAATGGCGCGGCAAAAACAAAATCAAATCAACTCAAAATGCTGCTGAAAGGAAAGGTAACCAAAGCGCCGGTGTAAATTACTTCATTTCTTCCTGTGCGCCGAGCCGCCTGCGAAAAGAACAAAACAAAAACAAAACAATGGAGTCATGAAAACGCATAAGCAGCTCCGCAGCAAAGTGTGTTCGACGAGTTTTTCTTTGAGCGATGTTGCTTGCTTTTCCAAATTCAAATCCGAGCAACTTACTCTTTTAGAAGAAAAATATAAAGTTGTTTTTCTGCCTTCAGACCCACATTAGGGAAAAAGTATTTGTCCATCATGTTTCCATTTATTGGGTTTGGAGCCAGAGACATTCAGCTTACAGTCACCAAATAAATCCAGCAGCCCAGTTTTACTAAACCGCTTGGATTAGTATCCGGTTGTAATTATGAAGAAATATATGTGCAATACTTCACATTTTGCTTTCGACCCGATACCAAATAAATACCCGGCCTGTATTGCTGATACCGACGCTTTTTATTTAAGTTTGAGACATATTTCAACTTCTGACCTTAAGGTCATTTCCCTCTGTTCCAACCTCAAAGTTTTTATACTTTGACATATTAACATAAAGGCAACTTGAGAAAGTGCGTGGTCTGTGAACACAATTTGTTGCCATAAATTCCCCAACTTTATGTCGTTCTAAACTTCGACTAGGCCATTCTAATTTTTTACTCCCAATCTAAACCATTTAATTTTAACTCTGGCTTTAACCTGTGTCCGTCAGGACATTTGGAAGATAGCGGGAATTTCCGGCTCAGTTGCGGCTCAACAAAGCAAACTTTTAGAAGGCCCTCTTCCAACACTGATTTTTTATTTTGTCACATTAAAAGCAAAACTAACTTTCCTTCTACTTCACAATAATGCACTACTTAGTTGAAACATCATAAAGTGTAAGGAAGTTCATGGAATTATAGGCATGGATTTGCCTACTTCTTCAGCTAAACGTATATGCAGTAATTAATCAGCATTTGTTTTTGTTTTTTTTGTTTGTCCACTTTTGCATTGAAATTTTGCAGTTTCTAAATAGGGATCCGGCAATATGAAAATTTTGACCCGTGTCGATATTTGACGCTGATATTGCTGTACTGGCAGAAGTTCATGTTCATCAAAATGACCGCTGAAGCTTTAGACGCTTCTGATGCTTCTCCAAAGGTTTGTAGCTTACACCAAACCTTTGGAGTTTCTCCTCCGTTCCCACATACCAGGCAGCTGATAAAACAGAAACCCAGCATGGACATGTCTCATTCTAGTCAAAAATGCATTTGTTATTTTGGTTTTTTTGTGCCAAACGAAGAAGCTTCAAAACCCAGAGCACAGCACTCTATTGTAAGCACGCTCATTAGGCAAAACTGTCCTTCAGCTCCGCGCATTTGATGCGTTTCGGCGTCGCAGTGTGACGGAGAAGGTAGATAAACAAAAAGTTTCCATGGTGGCGCCTCCCCTCTGCTTCGTTATTGCAGCTTCACAGACTTCAGGTAATGTTTTTGTGCTCACCGGTTTTGATCATGCAGACTTTTATCTCGACAACACAAAGTCTCTGTAGTCACGTTCCCTGTCTCCAGCGTTCCTGAGTCACATTTGTGAGGGTTTTGGGTTTTTTTCTCTCTTGGGTGGCATAAAAAGTCAAAACAACATTAAAAACAGCTGTTTGCTGTCAAGTTTGATGAAGGAAGCTGCTTGTGTGTCTTTATTTTGTCCATGACTCGCGTGCGATTAAAGAGGACACCTTTTGGCTATTTATTTGGTTGCGAGAGAACAGAGAGAGAAGGCAAAAAAGGCCCTAATTGTCTCATTAATTACTCTTCACATGAAATAATGACCGAGCCCTTGTGATCGCAGCTCTTTGTTGCTCAATAATGAAGGCAGAGGTGGGATGGCAGCAAAAGAAAACATGCTTCAACCTTTTTTTATTCACAGCATTATGCTAGAAGAGAGGGAGAGAAAAGGGAAAAATATGGCAGATAAGAACAAAAGGCAGGAGGAGTGAGAGAGAAAAAATGCTAAGAACAAAAGGGGGCAGGGGAGAAATGCAGCATTAGGACCGATTTGTTTAGAGCGAATCTAAAAGAGAGCAGCAGAGACGGAGAAAGATTTGGCCGTGAAGCTTTTGCCAGGCCTGTTGGAGCCCACCCAGTTCTCTCTCTCCCCCAATCCCGGCGCGGTGAATAGGCCGTTTGACACACTGCTCAGACACCGAGACGCGGCACAACAACAAACCAAATCAGCAGCAAATTAAAGACTCCTGGGGAGGGAAGCAGCAGAGTATTGCCAGAGGTCTTCT